ATAAAAATTTGGCATATCGATATCGGTAAAATTGGTTCGATATCGAAATACGATATCGTTGTGCATCACTATTATAGTGATCCATACCTGGATACCTGCCATGAGCTATTGACTAGAACACATTTTTGATTAAAATTGAACAATATCATAAGGTGTCATTGATTCTTTAATCTATAAATCTATAGGTTACTGTATATTATTTAATAAGTACATTAGTTATTCTAGAAACACCTCTACAAATGTATATAAAATATGTTTTTATTATTATTAGTTTAAAGATATRTGTCAATGACAATATAATAAAATGCAAATTTTGAGGTCGACAAATGATCAAAATTTTTAATAAGTACTATTATAAGCACAGAACTCTTTGATTATTTATTATTATAACGACATTTTAAACAATTTTACATTATCCCAAGCTAATAAAGTYAGTGATAATTTTTAACTGAACTAAGTTAAGTTGTTGGAAAATATAAATAACTGTCCGTCAATGTGTTAAGAAGTTTAAAGTTTAAAGTAATCCATTTTTTTTAAACTTAGTTAAGTTAAAAATTATATGGAAACTTACCATTAACTTTTTTAAAATTAAATTAAGTTAAAGGACTCATAAGTTAATGCATCGTAATTAACCCAATCAAAACTGTAACAATCAGTTAAATATTTAAAATYAAAAAATGAACGGTTTCATTATAATTATTMATGATGTAATTTTTAACTAATATTTATCAAGTTTATATATATGATCAGGTGCTTGCATTTTCATACTATATCATGATATTACATACTTAGATAGTTGGATAAAATTCTTAGTTCTTAATTATATCAWATTACTTGTAGGTACATAGATATTGTTTTGATTATTATTTAATTTAAATTTCTATAGGTACGATTTTGTGGAATAAAATATTAAAATTCAATAAAAAGAATATTATATTGAATAACAAATAAATAAAAATCTARGCATTTATTTTTGTTATGGTTAACATAATAACATGGCATTAATTAAAAAATCTGTACTAGATTATTATGACGTCATGTCATATGATTACCGAAATAGTAATTATTACGAGTAGCTGGGAGCGCAAAAATGGTACGATGTCGGTCTGTCAAGGTATTAGGAACTTAAAAATTAGCACAAGCCGAAGGCAGAATCGACAATAACTGTAGAACGGCCAAGGTTACGATCGTCTCTAGTCGGAGTACAATAATTACAATATATAATATCATATTTTATATGAAATGACTTTGGTCAGGATTACCCATATACATGTATATTATAGGTGGTAGATACCTAACCCTACCTAGTACCTACCTACCTACCTATCTCGGTTTCAAATTTTTTTTAGCAAATCGATACTCAGCAGTAATATCTGTGCATTAATAGTATTAATAGGTACATACTACGGGGTCTCGTAAARTTTACGGCATAATAATCAGCGATCACATGTCGATGTTACTCACATAGTTGAACCTATTACGAACATAATATGTTTAAAGAAGTTTAAGAAATCGTTTGGCACGCGACGATCGAGAGTTGTGGGTACCTATGTATGGCTTACAGCCAGCATTATACGAGTATACGTTTACGATGTTAATATACACATTATAATGATATTATTACTGTAATAGGTATATGAATGCGCACAGACTACAATATTATAATGTTATATTAATATAATTAATAATGTAAAATATTGTAAGACACTTATTTTATCATACACTACATATGTTACCGATGATAATAGTTGCATTACAGATAAGACATGGCATGCAAAAACAMCTGCACCAGGGTAAAATGTAGGCCCTATACTTGCGAATAACAATATAAATTGTGTATACTATAAAAATTTGTAATTTGTATAATAAATTATGCTCATTGTTTTGTATGTAGTGTATAGTGAATACCGACCTGTGAATAGAGAATGGGAATGTTGACGTTATCGTAACCAATCAGCGATCCCAGTCTGTACCTCATGTCGGACATTTCCAACAGTATTGTCTGTACCATGTGATCGTTGGATATCAGTTTCTCTCTTCTGGCCCGGTTTATGATGTTGGTGGCCCAAGTCAACGGGATCCAGTAATTTGTCATCGCGGTCTTTGCTTCCACCGCTTCCAGTATCTCCTTTTCGCTATCCATCATCAAACCTACGCCCGCCGCCATGTTTTAACAAAAAAATGCGTTTCGTCGTGGATAACGTTTTGTTTTGGTTTATATTATTTTTATCTTATTGTACAATGTCAACCGTCGTTATCTATTTTCATATCCGTATAATATATAGTTTACGATATAATATATTGTTGGCTAAACAGCGGTATGTTTATAATCAATTAAGTGGGAGGGGGGCTGATAGACAATTTAAACCTAAGTCAGCAGTAATCGCAAATCATAAATCTAATGAACATTTTGATCGGCTTTTTCTAAAACCAATCATGTCGTTGTATTTTATAGGTATTTTACAGGTACCTTGTATCTTACATAACGAAAAACGTTTTATGAAAGTCAAATTTATGAAATGGGAAGATCCGAAAAGAATAATAATTTAGTGCAATTACAAAATAAAAGCACTCCAATCCCACGCACGTAGACGTACCTACATAATATTGTACACAGTTTATAAGGGTATTGAACATAAACTTGAATAGTCTATAGTACGTATTAGTACCTACTCTTGTACAACATATTATTATAATATTTAATGTCGTATATTTTACTTTTACATAAGGTTATTTTTTGAGGATATGTTTATATAATAGTATTATAATAATATATTTAGTTTATCGGCTAATATGCAAAACAACAAACACTGTTATGATTTTGATATTAATGTGTTTACAAGAATAATTCGAAATCAGTAGCAATACCTATAGTTATTAATGGAATGAAACTTGCACTGCTGGTATGCAATAATAAAATAATTAATAATTTCGCTCGGAGAAACTAAATAAGTAGAATAAAAAAAAAATTATGAAGTATATAAATAGCAACGGTTAAATATTTCTACGTTAAAATAATAAGAGTCTCCGTCTCTCTCTCTCTCTCTCTCTCTCTGTCTCTCCCTCACTGTCTTTCAATAATCATGGTAGTAGGTACCTACCTACTACACTTTCTCCCGGCAATTAGATTACGTATGCAGTGAGCACTTACGACAACTAGCTAATATTGGTACGTACAATGAGACGTGCTTACCTATATAATATTGTACATAATAATATTATATATCATATACTTGTACGCGTCGCAACGTAATCGGGTGTAAAACGGGATATAATTAACTACCTAATTTATATGTTATAATATTTCGAGGAACAATCGACAAACATCACGCGCCAATAACAATAATTATATTATACGGCGATAGGTATAATATCATAATATAATTGATAATAATTTTGATCTTCTGCTGCTGTTGGCGCTGCTGCAGACGAACAGTGAGACGCGCGAGTTTAACGAACACGGCGACTGCTGCAGCTGCACACTCTGACAATACCCAAATCCGACTCGGACGCGACCGGTGTGATTTTTTGGCGTTATTATTAATTATTCTCGAAGAAATATAAAATAATTAAAATATATTTAATATTATATTATATTCCTGTCGTTGTTGTTGTAGTAGTAGTAATATTTCGCGTTTGCATGCCTGACACATCTTGTGACAGGTGAAATTTATCTGCCATGCAAAACGTTCACCTTTCTGATGTTACACGCGGAATTATCCTTATATTGTTATATCGTATAAATACATAAACCTACATACACATATACCGCCATATATCTCAGTGTACTGTGKTGTACATAATATATTATATTATTTATATTAATACTTCAACGCGTAGATTATGTATATAAACCGCGGTATTTATATTGTTATAAATCATTATGTCGTTCATGTACATAATTAAGACGATAACACATATAGGACATAGGTACTATAATTTATATGTATATTATATACACACGCACACGCATACACACACATATATATTTATGAGTATCGATGCTATATTATGGCTGAAGCTTATTTCGTGTAACATTGCGATTCAAATTTCAAACACTGAGCCTCAGCTGAGGTAACTGGTATATAATATAATATATAAACATAATATGTATATGTATGTGCTTCATAAAGCCAAACCAACTATAATTTGGTAGGTAACTTGGTAAGTGGATATAATTAATTACAATTTCGACTTGACTAGATTCCGGTAGAATAACGTAACAATAACATAGAATATTATGCCACAATCGTGTTGTTCGAGTTCGACCCGAATGTGGTTATTTTTTAAATGCTCGTTCCTCGGAGGTACATTTCTGTATGTAGTTGGCGAGTCTAAGATCACCGAGCGATTCTTATGAATATAATGCGAGGTATGTAAATAATAAATATAATAAATGATAAAAATAATACAAGCTAATGTGTATCATGCACTTAATACTTATAAAGATCCAATTTCAAAATGATTCTGTACATGCATTTTTTTTTTTTTTTTGTTAATGTTTACATGCACATGCAAAGCTTAAGCAGTAGGTATTAATAAAAAAATAAATAAAAAACAGAATATAAATAATGTCACACCAAGAAATCAACACTTTTACTATTACGATTAAACAAATGATTTAACTACGGTTATTAATAAATTAAATTATTATTGATGAATATTATGAGTCTTCCCAAGAGATCTGCTGAAATTATATTAATATTTTTCATATTGTTTGAAACGGACGTTGTATGATAATTTCGCGAAAGCGTTAACAACGAGTTTTCAGTCAAAAAAAAAAAAAACCATATTAAACCATGTATTATTATGGTTTTTGAACAGACGCGATTTATTATTCGTGATAAATGAGAACTTAAAATCAGCAGGTGACCGGGGAAGAACAAGATGTATGTTTTAAAATGAAATGAAAACACAAATGAAACAAGAACGATGAAATGATAAACAGAATAGATTTATATAAATAGGTATAGTCGGTAGGGTATTGGCAAAATGCTGACCTGTGTGTAGACGAGCGGCACGCAAACGGTATCATAGCTGATTATAGAACCCAGTCGACGCCTGATGTCCGACAGCTCAACGAGAAGCGTCTGGACCACCTGGTCGCTGGATATGAGCGACTCCCTGCGAGCTCGGTTTATGATGTTGGTCGCCCACACCAACGGCATCCAATACTTGGACATGGGGCTTCTCTCGTCCATCATTTCCACGATTTTTTTTTCACTCTCCAACATGATTCCTGTGTCATGTCCAAGTTCGTTACACGTTCAACAACATAGTCCCACCTCCCGCCCCACCAATCCCAATCACCGATCCCTCCAACCACACGGCCGTTTTTATCGGACGGTCGATCGGCGAAGGTTCGTAATATAACATAATATTATACATTAAACATATTTTTATTTGTATTCTCATCAAATATTTCAACTATACGCAACCCGTCACAGATATATTTTTGATTGTAAATGACGTATAAATAAATGAGATAAGATCACGAAGACGTGATGAAGCGGATAYGAACAATCAAAAACTATTATAGGTACTGCAAGTTTTGAAGAAGAAGACCAACACAGTTTACAGAAAAATTTATAGGTTCCTTGACAAAAAACAAACGCATAAAGTAAAATATTTAGAAAATTATCAAGCCAGTGTGGGCAGAGGCAGATAAATAACTCGTAAAACAATAACATTGGTGCAAATTCAAAATTCGCATTCATCTGCGAGATATAACATGACTCCGAAGTGAAAATCCTTGAAACTTTGTTCCTATTAACAACTYATATCTATATATCCATTATAATGCACCATGTATTAGTAACGATTCTGTGCACAACAATAATATTACTATATAATATACACACACACGTCACACCMCGATTCAAAGGTCACAAGAACGAAACAAAGAATTCGTGCACACCAATCATATATATGACGTTTTACAGCTGTCACCGCAGTAAAAGGTAGGTATAATATGGGTAGGTAGGTACACTTTTGTAGTCATCATGCGAGATGGATCCAATTATTGCAGATCCGCGACCGATAAATTATATTGTTTCGAGCTTTGACGTGGTTTTCGACAAATAAGTAAATTATTTAAAAGATGGTGTCATATTTAGGTGTAATTGCAGAGAGACACTGAGTTAATATGATTATATTATTGCGGAAATAACGAACGATGTATAACTTATGAATTTATAATATTTCTATATTATTATTGTGAAAATAATCGACTAATATGCGTGTGCGATACACAATATACTCGCTTTGCTATACGATGACATATATGATTGAATTAAGAATGACACAATGATAAAATTTTGTCAGTTGACCATTGTTATTGTCAAAACTAATCCAATCGTAACGATCCCATCCCAGTGGAATATTGTATACCTATATAGTACATATAGAGTGYACCTACCGTATATATATATAGTTATACATAATATGGTAAACTGTGCAGTATAGGTATAGCCTTGCGACCAAAACACTACCTATACCTACCTACCACTGTTGGGCATTGTTCAAAAATTATTATATCCTGCATGCGTTCTACAGGGTAATCTATTTGATTGCAAGAATTATAGTTGTCTATTTTTGTATATTTGAAGTCTTGAAGAAAAAAAACATTGTATATCATATATTATTAGGATGAATATTATATTATTATTATAATTTTTGTTATATAGATAACTATACCTCACTAAATGCGTTAACAGAAATATCTGTCTTTTTTAATATATCAAACTATAATATAGGTACTACCATTACCATACACCTACTACCTAGTTAACATATAATATATGATATTTTTTCCCCCAAATATACAACAATTGACCTAGAAAATGAGCGTAACCGTCAATCTGAATATTAAACAAATCGCCAATTGCCTACCAATGTGTACATTATTATCTCCATTGCGAAACGGCGGATTGACGCTCTGCAGGCTTTGAAATCTGCTGCAGGCACCGAATGTGTGCAAAAGACGAAAAACTATGTAATAATATCTGACTCGTATTATTCTCGCGTTATGTTAATAATATCATGTTGAACGATTAAAAACTTCGCTAGCGGTTATTACAAAAAATGAATAATGACTATATAATAACGGTAGGTACCTACTTATAAATATACAATATATCTCTCGAGCATATAGGTATAATAAAATAATAAAGCTGTGCCTACATCGCCAAAGTATTAAAAGACGATGTTCGAATGTAAATCTGATCGATGTTAAATCTACGGAATGATCCAATTTATTCTCAAACCGCTTCGCGACCCACAACAGTCGCACATTCTTTGAATAAATTGATATGCAACAGGTTCTGGGTTAGACCTATGCGCGAAAATAAAACCGGTCGATGCTCGGGCACCACTTTTGCTAAGAGATATAATTATTAATCAAGTCGATAATAAACAATGTTGCGGTCATTCAAAACATTTGATAACCTAGTCAWAATAATATAATTCATTATAAATGTAGGCTATCACCCATCACTGGCTGTTTATGTATACCTAGTATCTACTTATAGGGAATAATTACAATATATATTCAGACGGGCAGACGGCACGTCCTGCACTTAGTACTTTTATCTATATACAAATCGAGGTTGAGTACTCACCGGCGTCGACGATGTGTTGTAATGTTGGAAATCGTTTTTTCACCCTTATGCTCACTTGCTTCAGAGTTATGACATAGGCCAGTACAGCGTACCTCACTATGTTCCTCCTCATTAATCGTCCTCTCTCGTCCTGAAATAAACAATATTATCTTTTTTTATTTTTTTTCAGGGGGAGGGGGGGGGTGTCGATTGCTCATAAAAATAAACATTAAAATATGCCACAAACAAATTATCAATTGTGCTTTAAAAACACTTGAAATTGATTGAATAGGCTCAAATACAATTGAATAAGGCACCTAATCCAACTTAGTTGAATTATATATCAGAAATAAAAAAAAAGGATAATTTTATTAATTAGTTCAAAAATTAACTGAGCCTACATACAATAGGTGTCAATAATAATTGCGGCATATCAGTTGTGAAACTTATGGTAAACACTGCAGGATTGGGAGGGACTGATTTTAGACACTATAATAAATAACTAAAACTACAGGTCTTCTAGTGTCAATGGGGGGAGAGGGGTAAAACTTAGCCATCTAAATACTCCTGAAGTACCTATATACCTATTCAAAAGTATAATAAACTATGTTAATACGCCTATGATTATGAGCTATGATTATGACGTACAATTATACTCGGGTATACAATCCGTTAGAATATAATATATTGTGTTCTTATATAATACTATTAATTATTATGTTATTATAAAATAGGCGCTTACCGTCGTCCCGGGTATCGCCGCACTTGCGAAAAGAGCCAATGTATCGGGCCAAGGCAATAACCTATACTGTTCCCACCATCGTTTTACCACCAGACCGACGTAGAAGCTCATAGCAAACGTCAACGGGACACTCGCAGAATGACCGGCTAAGTAGCACCGGATTTTTATGAACAATCTAAAAATAAAATATAAAATCATCTGTCTAATACTCTAATAATTACCTAGTTTTATCGCATTAAAACGGATTCTTAGTACAATAATTGACTCATATAGAATGTTGATGATTATTGATTATTAACTTAATAGATTAATAATATAGGTACTCGTATTGTCGTATAGGTATATTAATACATTCTTTATTAAATATATTAATAAATTAAAATAGGTATACCGTCCATATTTTGTACATAGGTATACTTATTATATTAAAGCACTTAATTTCGTAATTGCTCATAAATATAACTGTTTTGTATAATATATATAAAGGATTTTAAACTGTATGAGTATTAAACAGAAGCCACCAACAATCCAAATGTTCACTTTAAGAGCCCATTTAGTATAATGCTATTTATTTTAATGTTATTTTTAATGTTTTAACATACTTTTGCTGGGCTTCGGTGAATGCGAACCTGTATGCTAAATTTATAGCAAAATAAACCACTAAATAGGCTGCTAATTCCCTCCACACAAGCTTGTAAACGCTTCCTCGCCATCTAGAATAATGTTAATTATTATTATACATCATTGATTAGGTTTAAGAAAAAAAATAAATACATTTTGTTTATAAGTCTAATACAAAAACCACAAGTGATCTAGTGAMTATCTAATAAAATAATTATATCCTGTACTTTCATTTTYAATAATTTATATACACCAATTGGATATTATAATAGGCGGTATACTACAATTAATACAGAATCCTAATTCGATGACCAGTTTACCAAACCTATGAGTCGAGAAGAAGTTCAAATATTCCGAGTATCTACAACATTATAAAGCCAGTCTTGGTATTAATCTATTTGCCTATTATATGGTGATAAGTGCTGAGTAAGGTTAATATTTGAAAACACTTGTTTACAAACTTAAATATTACATTATTAATTAGAATATCAAATAGTACCAATAACAACTACATAATTAAACATAATAATATTGGAGTAACCAAATATTTTTTCTATAATATTTATGCAGTACCTACTTGAAAATTATGTAGGTATTTAATTAAATATTTATTTTCATATACATAATAGACTATAGGTACAATAAAATTAAAATTAAATAGTTGATGATTGTATACCTAATAGTGTTTAGATAAATTTATATGGTGGCCAGTTAATTTTTCTAGATAATAACTATACCACCTCGATAAGAAAACAATTAATTATGCTGAATAAAAAATATGTGTAGTTACCGCTATCACTATTATAAAATTACATATCAGTTATCACTATCTAAATAATCCCCTCTCAGGGATAGTCTAATTATTTTGTTAAGGGGTGAAAGCAGGGAAACGAAGTCGATTTTTAACGAGCACTATTTTATTAAAAATATAATTTATGGTTGTAAGAACATAAACATTGAATGAAATTTTATTGGGATCTACCCCCCTCCAAAAGTTTGATCACCTGGCATCTATGTAAGCTGCCTTAGTGGACTCATCTTGGCGCTCATATTTTGAGTCCATTAAATAATCGAATAAAATATGAGATAAAAGTTCTAAGAATAAAAATACATATAAATGTTCCTAATAGATTATATAGATACATATTATATATTTGTTATAATAAAGTGATTTATAAGTGACATATATAAGCTAGGGCCTAGGAGACGATATAGGTACTTCTATATTTGTTACCTATAGCCTATATATATATATTCATTATATTCACTAAATTGTGTATAATATCTATTTTGCAATTTATTTAAAATCAATCAAAATATTAAAAATGTAGCTAATTATTATTTATTAGCCATTTATCCAATTACTATGTGTTCTTAATTTAATCGATCCTGTTAACCGGAATAACGATTTTTTTCCAAGCACAAACCAGCCTGTTAGAGCCAAATAAACGAATACTAGTAAATGTATTATAATATTTTGTTTTTGCAACCAAATTTTAAATTTTATAGTATCGCTGTTTATTCAAAACGAATCAATGCAATAATTTTAATGTTTTTACTTGAATTTCAGCACGATTCCCATTTATAATATTCTATTGAAATAATGAATATTAAAAATACTCGTAGGTACTGATTTTGATCATAATTAATGTCTCTTACAAAAGCGTATAAAATGTCACAGCTGCAAAATAATGTTATATGTCCTTTTTTAATCCGGCGTGCTTTTTTTAAAACTTTCTTCGGGTCTACATACTATAACTAAATAAATACAATAAATACAAGCAAGGCTAACAAGTTCAGATGATTAATGTTGTTGTAAAATTATTTCAACGAATCTAAAACGTTTACTATACTTAGAGGTACCTATTTAACTACAGACGAATTCCTCTGCTGCAGTAGCACTAACTAAATTATCGAACTAGGTAAATTGACTGAAATCTATAATTATTAGTAAACATCATATAATAGGTATAATACCTACTTAACTCGCATTATTTAGGTCTATTGTGTTCGATCACCATAATATACGAAGTTTACGAATTCGGTTAATAGGTAAATACATGCGTATTTTATGTATTAACGAATTTGGTTTTAATTCTTTTTTTTATCATTTTCATTGGATATATAATTATATATAATAATACAAATAATCTGTATCATATGAATCATAATAATTTATAATACATTATCAATACCTATATACATATACACATCGTAAATATTGATCCTGCTTAGTGCTTATAGGTTATAGCCGGCGATGTTTATATTATGTTATTGAACGCGTTTCTTAATCATGAATTTATTCTTTAGGTATCTATTACAGACCTGCTATATTAAATTATTATTGTCATGATAACAGATTCTAAGCTGTGGTAGAAAATCACCTAGGTATATTTAATATCGATTATACAAGTATCCACAATTCGCCCATATTATTATTCCGCCAAAAAAATCGAAAATATTCACCATAATATTATAATGAAATTCAACCACGTTTTTTAGGCGTGATGTGTACGAAAACCTGAAATTTAAACAAATGTATTGTGAATAATAATAATAATATAATATATKTTAATGCGATACCTCGTTTAGAATTCCGTGTTTTACGGGAATAACGATTTGCATAATACTATTACTGTCATATCATTACGCGAAAAAATACATGTATATTATGTGACGACTTAAATAATAATAATATTATTATTATCACATAAATATAATAATATTTTATTATACACAATGGTTTTACGGTGTATCGGCCTCGGAACGGGCGTGCATGGTCAACGAAGTGCATTCTACAAAGGATAACCGCTTTTTATACAGATACGATTTAGTACTGGAAATAGAACCGGTCATAATATATCCTATACCAATAGAATATAATATATAATAAATAATAATATAACCGGTCTATCGGACACCGCCCTCTGCGCAGACAGTCACTACGGTATACGTTCCGACGTGAACTAGGCTATTTATCTCACCTGGTCGCGAGTCTTCCAGCTGACGATTCAGATTTCCTGGTCCACTGTAGGTATACAACGTTGATCACATTCCGTTCGACTATACCAGCACGCCGATAGAGACAATTTCGGTAAAACGACCGAATCAATAGCTGGATAAAAATATCAAGTCCGCGAGACGACTTACGAGTGTGTAATGTAACGTGAATAACGGGATGTACATACAATGATATCCAATCTCATATGACTTATAAGTCAAGTATCATCAATAGTATAACAATATAATAATAGATATGTCGTGAAATCTTCACGCATTGCAAGATCATCCGACACTTCGATAACACTATTATCTAGACATCAACGCTCGAGTTAAATTCAAACATCGATTAACATTTTTAGTGATTTAATACGATTAACAATTATATTATGTATATATGTAGTTTAACGTATTTCATGATGGTTTTCTTTCTACTAAACGTCGAACACCTCGACCTTATGAGMTATTTTTACTCGAAGCCCATCCACTTCGTTGCATAGGAAATTATATATTTATATCATAAAAATAAATACCTACACTGATATACTGAACATATCCTACTAGGTGATGCAGATTACCGGGATTTCCTTAGAACATGCGTTCTCCTTTTAATTCTATCGAGACACACGTGATGTCTACCTTCTAAAGTCACATGTGATAGGAAACTGGTAAACTGGTATACATAGTTATGGTATATTATAATTGAAGGGATAACCATAATAGATTTTATTTCTGGTGGTGATTTTACGTAACATATACGAATTAAATATTACCAGTGGCATCAGAGTAGTTAATGGTAAATACATAAATATTGTGTTCATTATAAAAAGGATTCATTATTTTGGCTGCAATAGACAATCGCCTGCAGCAGGTATGTGTATAGTCAGATTATAAACAGAAAGAGACGTGAAAACAAAATATTTTCGAGACAAAAAAAAAGTTAAGCCTATACACGTCGGAGATTATCGTTGATTATATCATAATATTATATATAATTATGTTATATACTATCAAGTCATACACAATTTGATTTACCAAGCAAGCTCGCCCTCATCAATTTATACAATATTGGTTTCAGAGAAACTAATATCTGAAATAAATAGACCAACAAGCTTCATGTGGRTCTCCTCTCACATTGGGATACCCGGAAATGAGAAAGCTGACTCTATAGCCTATGAAGCCACCACATCCTAACCTCATCCGAAAATTTCAACATTATACATCATAAATTAATGGAAGAATGGCAAAAATTCTGGTCTAACCTACCCCTCTCTAACAAACTGAGAAACGTAAAATTATCTATTAAAAAATTAAAATATCCTCCCAACACCAAACGAAGAGATGAAGTAAATATTACTCGAGCTAAAATAGGCCACTCACATTAAACTCATGCTTATCTCATAAGAAAAGAACCAGCCCCAGTATGCGACACTTGCAATGAGACATTAACACTAGAACATAATATCATCATAAATTGCACCAAATACACGGAAGCCCGCAAGATCCTCAAAAACCCCACCTCACTCCATMAAGCACTCARTGAAGACAATACGGACGCAATCAATGTATTCTCCATAATATAAACATAAGTCATAMATTTTAAACACATGTAAATACTTGTAATAATTATAATGTTCACTTATTTATATTAATTTAATGCAGGCTAAAGACCTTTGATGTCGAAGCCTTAATAAATTTATAAAAAAAAAATTAAAAAATATTGGTATGTAAAATAGCTATTTTTATTGATTTATACAATATTCTTTTCTAAAACAAAATATAAATGAAGCAAAAGTTACAATATGATGAATTTCTTTGTTAAACACATTTTAAGTTGTACAATTTCTGAGTACCTAAAAAAATGTTTTTATTGCGTCACACTTTTACTCGGTTATAGTATGGCAGCCGTCAGGCGGTAGGTATCGAGAAAAACATTGAAGTGTTGTCGATTTTGCTTTTAAGGAGATTTGATAGATCGCTGTCACTGGCGATAACTGTATTACATGGATACTTTTTTTTTTTGCTTTTCAAGATTACTTTAGAATAGGTAATATTATATATTATTTTATAATTGTAAATGTATTTGTAAAAA